AGGATTACTGTTTTTTGTTAGGAATAAAGCAGTTATTTCTTTATAAAAAAGTGACTTACTGAATACCGATTGGTTATGTGTTCGAGGAATATAATAGTTATCCTTTATTGTTGTTCAATAACAAATACAATAATAACAGGTTAGAAGTATATCCGATTGTAGTATAATAAGGTCCAATAACGTAGAATAACGGGAGAAGTATTGAAGCAAAAATTCATAAATAGAGAAGGAAGTAAGTCTGGATTATACTGAGTAGCGTTGAGTAGCGACGTGGAGAAAAATTTAACATTAACATTAAACCTTCCTAGGGATTCTTAGGGTTTATATATAGGCTGTGTGAAGAGGAACAATCATTGTATATTGACAGTATTCTCACAGGTGCAAGAGAAATTTACATATAAGAACAGTTCTCTTTAGAAAAGATTGCATAGAAATTATTTCATCTGATGTACAGCTTTCTCACCATTGTATAAAAGATTTTGCATGAGATAAAGCCTTTACAAATTAGTTATCATATATGCACAAATCTTAACATCAAAAGAAGCACTTTTAGTAGATTAGATAACTGACTCATGAATTTAAGCATGAGAGAAAAAATATGTAAATGCGATCTATTTGAATGAATGATTTTACGGTATAACTATTTCGGTTTTTCCGACAACGGGCATCTTCTGATGCGGTCGAACAAAGACAAAAAGAAAGGGTATACACCTGCCTTGAAAGTTATGCTCAAATTGATACCTGCATTTTGGGACATTAAAAACATGTTAAATAATGCGGATAGTAGTTGTCCCGAGCGTTCTGCCCTAATTCTCACGAATTGTAGAAATTGTTGAGCACTGAGCTTTTGGACTAGAAGTTAGCTTGAAGATAGAAGTTCTCCACTACTACCTCAGGAAGGCTACCTTCATCCTCACATCACTATAGACTAATTAGAGCTCTAACCAAATCCATAACGCTGCTAGTTTCTTTGGGAACACACGCAGAGTCAGTCTCGAAGACAAGGAATAATGCAGAAAAAACCATACCTCATCAATACGCCTGAGAAGACTTTCCTCTGTGCCTTTTACAGCCGAACTTGTCTATCCCGCATTGGCTTTTTAAGTTATTAGCGCACCTGCTGCATGCTTAGTATACATATGCTTCACGGAATTATGCTTAATGGCTAGACGTATTTATTAAAGGCAAATGTTTGGGAGTAGTCTTTGTCCTTTGTACTTACGACACTTTAATTTGATTTTGCGACACTCTGATTTGGTTTATTTTATGATTCCTATTTCATCTTTCACAAATTTATTTCATTTTTGATTTTGTTTTGTCATTTCGTTCTGTTTTTTTAACTTCAAATTTTGAAAATTATCTAGTGCTGCAAATGTCGGATACTTTTGTATGAGTCACCATGTTGACATACGATTATTAAATGTGTCATTCCTGTTGCTTATTCACTAGAAGTTTGTCCTGCTTCTTCCAGGACTTATTAATACTTTTCACTCATTTGTTTTTTGGTTTTCCAAATAATTTGAATATTACTTACTTACTCTGATGTCTAGGATGACTATATTTTTCATAATTTATGGGATTCTCGTGAATACAGATTATATATATATATATATATATATATATATATGCTGATTTTTTGGAATGGATGCAATAACGGAGTCGCCCGGGCGGTATTGGCCTGTATCACACAAATATGATACGATAGACAGGAAATATAAGTTTTTTAAGGCGTAAGTTTTTTTGTACTATTGAATATTGTTGGAGAGAGTTCAAAAACCGGGAGGGTCACAAGTTTCTGACGTGGAGTAATAATCCTTCATCAGATTGGATTCCGATTGAATAGGAGACTGTACAGGATATTTTTATTTGATTTTTAATAATTTTAGTACTAATGCTTATCGGATGCAAGCATACTATCCATTGATACAACTTGGTCGCGCCTCCTACTCATCTGCTCGACGCGATGTCACTAGTCTAAGGTCCCAGGTGGTCCAGTTTTTACATTGGTGCAGCAATTCAGACTTGCTTTCTACGATATTTTTATTACATTCTTCAACAAAATGAATAAAGAATTTTCAGATTTCAATAGGAATTGAAGTGAATATTGACGAATTTACGACCGATTCAAGTGTCAAGAAGGTATTTTTTTTCTATTGCATAATGTTGGAAAGTATAGTTCAATCTTACGAGACATTGCAAATGGACCAAATGAAAATTCTTTTAGTCGTAAGTAATTCATTAAGGAAACACTCACTACAGTCAACGATTTGTCGGATGATATATTGTTGGCAATATTTGCTTACTGTCATCCGATTGATTTGATCCATGGTTTTTCTTTGGTTTGTCGCCGTTGGAATTACTTGGCGAATTATTCTAGTTTGTTCACCGAAGTTCGGGTGTTAGTTAACGATTTTTCATTGAAATATGGCAGTGTGAAAATGTTCTTTCGCAGGGTAAGCTTTATGCTAATAATCTTTTTTGCCTGAAATACCTGGAATCAGTGAGGGAAATTTTCGTGTTTTATGGGTCGTGATTAATCGAAGCCATGAGGACAGACTTATCGTCTTGAATCGTCTTACTTTGAAATTTTGCTTCAAAATAACTTGCCTTCTGTTTCATACTTTTGCTAATTGATGAATCAGGATGTAGGTGTCCATTCATTCTTTTTGCATATTTCTAGACTTCTCAGTATCTTCGAAAATTGTGCATTGATTGTCCAGTGCCTTTGCCTTCTGCCGAAGTTAACGAATTGTTCGACATTTGCTTTCCCAACGTCATCCATTTGGATCTTGGCTCTTTTAAGGGTACAAATTGAAGTCGCCTTACTTGACAAGAGAGTTGATATAAAAAGAGGAGATAATATAAATTGACTTTAGTAAGAGTTGATTTTCTCCAAATTTAAACATGCAGTTTTTCTTCTAAATGAATGTTTTTTTTTTTTTTCCAGAAATGAATACCACATTGTTGAAAAAGTTATCAAATTGTTTCCCCAACGTTGAAACTTTGCACATGGAAAAAATAGAACGAGTATGATTTATATTGTAAATTGCATGAAATATCTCACTTTCAAATAGAACACCGTAATATTTTGTACTATTATTACTGTTAAATATTACTGTTAAATTATTACTGTTAAATATTCCATTACTTAAATGGATTTTGTTACTTTTCAGATCACTGTTTTGAACATTTAATTTTTCAATGTTTAACATTACAGTTTAGGCGCCGTTTATTAAAAACAATTTTAATTTAGGGTTTAGTAATGTCGTTATTGTTATTCACGATTTGCATGTTGCATTTTTTAGAGTTCAAGGTGTGATGATAATGCACAGGAATGGGAAAAAACATTGAAAATGTTATTTGAAGATGAAAACATTTTTCCGCAAGTCCAAAATTTCTTTGTTGGCAATATAAGTGCATACAGCTCGGGAAGTGATCCAAAACTGCCGGTTTGCAATCGTCCGCTGAATTTATTGCATATTTACGGCGGGTTGGGTGAAACTGAGTAAGTCTGCTTTCTTATGGAGATTACCCGTTAGCCGTCGAGCTTGGTCATTTTTGAAAATAGTCTTATGACACCGTACTTTGGAATCTATTGTTTGAAAATCGTTTAGCTTTCAAGCTCGATTCATTAGAGATTGCGATCACGACACTTGGCAGTACTTTGACATACACTACGATACTCGACACGCGACACAGACGTATTTGCTAATACCACTGCTTTTCAGATTCAGCGTGATTAGAACTTCTCCGTGGCGGTCGACTCTTACAGAACTTCATCTTGGGTCTCATATTGGAAACGATGGCATTGAATACATTGGACTTTTGCAAAATTTAAAAGTTTTTTCGTGGGGTCTAAGTCTTTATACATTCGATGAAGAATTCGCTCATATAAAGGTAAGAAAAATCAAAAATATGACATTAGCGCTGTCAGCAGCATGAGGGTAGTGCAATCAGACCGTTATAAATGAACAGCGTGATATATTTTCAGGAGTTGCAGTCAAAATTTCAAGACCTTCCAACTTTTTGATTTGTGCTGACTAAATGATTCATAGTTCCAACTTTACAAACGTTTAACGAAATAGATCGATAGTTTCAGTGTACAGTGCTTTCTATTTGTTCTGAATTTGATTTGATCTGACATTTTTTAATTAGCAAATATTTTAATATTTTTATATGTTTCAATAATAAATATCTTGATACAATTATTTTAATAATTTACTTTCATATTTTCAATTTCACAATAAGCATCATAAAAGCAAGTACCGTTTTGATTTTTTACACTACTTTTGAATATTGCAGAATTTGTGCAACTTGGAAGAGCTAAAGGTATTTTTCGGTGGTGAAGATTGTAATGTTTCTTCCGAAGGTTTGATTGCCTTGTTCACTCTGTCCGATAAGGAACCCGAAAAGTCATTCCCGTACAAGCTTAAGCATTTAGTAATCGCAAATTATTTCGAAACTAGTGTCGATCTTCTTCAAGCCATCGATCGAAAGTGAGTAAATTTCCGGCAGAAAATATGTTTGAGCCAGTCTTTTCCTTATCCAACTTTTTATTGTAAATGTGCTGTTACGGCAACTAATTATGATCCATTGCAGTTGCCCAGATTTGCAAACACTTGGCTTAGCATTCAATGAATATTCATTATTCAGGGATCAAATTATGCCTTTTATTATTAGTAATTTCAAGTAATTTCTTACATAACATTGGTTTACTGAAATATTTTAACTATCATTGCTGCTTATATTTTCTCCTTTCCAACAATTTTTTGATATCCAAACAATAATTCCAATTCATAATAAGTTCAATTTCTCAGTGCTTTGCAGTACTCGTTCCAGAACACTATGAAGTTTTATTTTACATAAAATTACATTATGATTCCGAGTGTCTTTGTTTCAGACACTTAATATTCCTCGATCTAAGCAATTTCGGGGAATGTTATAAAGATGAAGTGTGGAATAATTTGGACGACGACGACTTGCCGGATTTACGTCTCCTGAAGCTTCATGGAAATAAGGTACTGTTCACGGGAGGGGAGGAGCATGACGTTCAGAATTATTGCTCAAAATTCGTTTGATGAAGGGTTTTCGGTTTCAGTTTTAATGGATATGCCTAGCAAATTTAGATATGAAAATAGTTGCTAAAAGACTTCATATTTTTCTAGTTTGAGTTGGAAATTAAGTTTGTTCCGGATCGAGAATAGTGACAATGAATCGTGACAAAGAAAGAATACTCTTGTTTTTCAGGTCAATATTGAAAATTTACAACGCTTGAATTTGAGAAGACCTAAACTGTTAATTTCAACCAGAGTGAATCATTTTATTAACTGGACCGAAATTGAAAATACTTGCGTTTTCCATGATATTTTTGATGGTGATATCAGAGCCATAGAAAATGATTTGCGACAGATCGACGGATTGCGTGATTTTGAAATAAACCCGGGATTATACATGTTAGTTGATTCGGTCATGAAACGATAGGAAATTAGGTTTTCGACAATTTCCCAATTTGCTTTTCCTGATTTGTATTGTTTCATAAAATCTCCGCCTTTTGTTAGTCTCATCAACAGTTTCTGTCAATATATATTGTATTTCAGCTACGACAATTTTACCTTAAACACTTTGGAGCGTTCATCGTCAGTCGATTTTTACAATGAACGCAGATCAAGGAATTTCAGTAGTGGCCATTCTGTGTAATTGGAATTAAATCATATAAAAGTTGACATTTAAGTGGAGTTATACTATGGTTAGCTTCTTTGGAATTACTCATTCTAATGGTTCTACTAGTAAGCATGGATCATTTACGTCATTTGATGGGATGAATCAGCGGAATCGTCAGTTGCGTACTGCATTGTGTTGCACATTTTTGACACACTCTGTAACATGCTTGCAACACACTGCGATTGGAGATTTGCGTCTTTTTTTATACATATACTCTGCCAGACCATTGTAATTTTTTGTGAATTTTTTAGAATCAATAAATTATGATATAGTAATGCAGTAAAGTAAAGTAAAGTAAAGCC